AAGCAACAATTTCAATGTGTGTTAAGTCATATCGTACCAGCACATAGCTATAGGCGAAAGAAGGTTTTTTTTTTCCCGGGGGGGGGGGGGGGGGGGGTGAAGAACTAAAGATTTATATTTGAAAAGAAGGGGTCACCACTCTCCCTAATACTACATGTCTGACATGTATATTTATTTCTTAATTTTGCTCTAATTTACGCAATGAATATTCCGATTTACTTATCGATTATTTTGAAAAGATACATGGCGTTTACAAATCGCGTAATATACATGTGTATAATCACTTCAAAAACAGTTGTTGAATAAAAGAAGCATAATTATTACACTTCATAACGATTGTTGATAATATATATCACAAGATTGGTAAATGAAATTCAAATTCGATATTTATCTACTTCGTTGCATTCATACATTCGAAGTTTTTTCCGAGTTTATATCCACCCTAAAACGTGACAAAAGTGTAATGTTGCTTTAAAAATTGAAGTGGTCAGACTACAATTGTTTTTATAAACTGACTAAATGTGAAGAAATTGTAACGTCTTTGGTATTTTTGATTGTTTGTTTCATTTTCGCAAGAAATTGATTAAATGTGTATTTATATGGGTAATACATCTACTCGTACATTATTGTATTGTTCGCAATGCCCAGGAAACTTGCGATTACATGTATGAGAAATAAAATATGTCCATGAAAATCATAATTTGAAAGAACTTTAACATGAGTGATATTCTTCCTAGTCTATAGAACTTTGTTTTGAATTTTAAGAAATAAAAGCTGATGAATGCACTTTTCAAATACGATCTACAATTGTCGCTTCTTAGAGAAAACGCGCTTTCAGGATGTATTAACCTGTGGCAGTATGGAATCACGTGACATATTATCTATTCTTAGCAGGTCAATAATAGGTTAATCTTATGTAAATGTACTCACAAAACGGATTCAAAATCATGATACTTTTTAATAGAAATCATAGAGCGCAAGGTTGTTCAACAAAGATATTTTCACACAATCTGTGTAAATATAATACACATATTATATTTTAATCTCGAATTTGAACAAATCTGCGCTCGATGTTTACGAAAGCTGACAAGTAGGTACCTGTCACAAATTTCTTTTGATATTCATGTAAATCAAAGGACCCTTCAAAACACAGCTTCGCGTGATGTCTATTTCAATTATTTGACATGTTTAAACGTTGAACCAAATACTAAAGACATGAGAGAATAATATAATTTACTTTTTAAGTTTTTTAAATCAAGTTAAAAATTTTACGAGTTACCAGGGACCACAGATAATGCCTTAGTGAGACTTCTTCTTTCCTCTATAATTTGATTAATCGTTTATAGTGAAGACACATTTAAAGAATAATAAAATTGTGATTATCGGTACATTCATGAACTCCATTGAAGTGCCTAGTAAACAGTGTTATAAATAAATCAAACACTTGTCTGCCCCCTGGAAATTTTATAAGATTAGAATAATAGTTGGTTCATGGTTTATATTTCCCTTCAATAACGTAGTAATCTCGCAGCACTGTTCAGGCCTACTATGAGAAATCAACGGAAAATAGACGTTCAAAAAGGGGGTTACTCTTAAAATTGAATTTATTTTAATTAAGCTGTTTATTATCACAGAACTTTAATACTCATTGAAATAACATTAACCCACTTCATACAGTATGAACTTTAGTCCCATCGATGGACAATCATGTGGTGAATGCATAGTTCGTGTACTGAAATTAGGTCATAAACAAATTTCAATATCGCAAGGGCATAACCTAGTTGAAATTAAAAATTTAAGCTATTAATTGTTTCTGCATGCTTTGTAGTTTCTGAAAAGTGCTGCTGCTTTAAATATATTACGCGTTTTAATAGTTAAATTTTCAAGTAAATAGTCTTATGTCGAAACATGTTTGAATTTTATAAAAATATTTTGTGTACTTATAAAATTACGTCGTCAATTTAAAGAAAGCAGAAGCACTTTTCAAGCAAAGGAAAATATCTTTTATCTATATTCAAAAAATGGTTAAAATCTATGCAGTGCATGCCCTTGCAAAAGTGCGATTTGATGAATAATCTCGATGTAAAATATACGTAATCTGAATATAAAAACACGACATAATTAAAAAAATACATTCTCTTGATAATTAATGAATAATCGCACTAAACAAAGGATATACATTGGTATTAATCGACTATTTAAAATCTGTAAATAATATTCCGTTTAATAATAAAAAGGCATTTTTCACTGTTGAAAAATTCCTCAATCTGCCTCACACATCACATGGAGTACGTCATTTTTACCCAAATGACGTCATATTTACAAGTTCATTGCGATCAGTGCTTTGTTTATAACCAGCTACATGGTAATTAACTAGCAACTTTTGTAATGCATTGATAAGATTTATTGTTTTTTATGCTAATGCAGTTTTAAGTTGCAAATTATTTCATTTTCAGGTATTATGAGAAATACATGAAAAATATATTTTTGTGTGACGTCACAAGTCAACTTTTCCTGTATAAATTTGACTCCATCCCCTTTTACAAGCCTTAATCATGCTGCACTGCATATTGAGGTAAAGAGAAAAGAACATAAGTACATTTATTAGATTATGTTTTGATTAAATGTATTGATGCCCTGCATATCTCGTATAAAACAGACAGGGAAAAAAAAAACAGGACACTTTAGTTATTCAGGTGTAAAAAAATCAATCTAGAAAGGAAAATAAAATGTTTTCCAATATATCGAATTCTTGCTGATTCTAAAGATTTGGAATCTATCATAATTTACTCTTATTTTCACACGATATCACTTATGTAAGATCGTCGCTAAGTATCTGTGAAAGGCTTTAAATATTGACCTTTACGCGAACCTATTGAGCAATGAGTTTATTTATCGTGCTAACACCTTTCCGTGACACAGTACCTCAGTTTCTAAGATCACATCCGAAGGACGCACATAACTCACTACAGGTACCGATCGCTGAACGTTGAATAAAATTTTCACATCTACTTTTTGTTGAGAAAAAATCTTTATAACTTCTCTAGAAGATAATTTTATTATATGATATCGGTAGAATTGCACAAAAAATTCTATCCAAATAATTATTACTATTAGAAACAAAAAAAATATATATTACTGGCATTAGATTAAATATGACGATAGAAACTATTCAAGGGTACAACTGTTCTGTGAGCTCACTATTTTATGGTACCCCCTCTTTCCATATGATTACTGTAGCAACATTCATGCTCTACTTTGTACTTATGGAGGATACAAAATAAATCTATCCCCGAAATAGAGATCAAAAAGTTAAACAGGAGTTGCACAATGACATCATATTTCGAAGAATCTGTAAAAGTATCGTTAAATTTTATTCAGTAACGAAGAAAGAGTTTTGGATAAGATATTGCAATTTGTAATTATCACTATAAAAGACAAAACGGCAGTGCCTATATTTTGCTATTGTAAATCGAAATTTGTGTCTGATCTAAAAGTAAAATGAAGGTGCCTAAAATCGTTTTGTAACAATGGTTTTGTAAAAATGTCATCATATTCCATTCAGTCGTATAAGAGGAGTTGCGGATAATATATCGTTACCCAAAGCGTTAAAGACAGAAGGATATACAAACAGACATACATTTATACTGATAGATGGACATGCAATGACAACACTTCCTCTATTTTTTTTAATTGGATATATATATTTGATGATTGGTGGGACAATTAAGAATTAGGTACATAATAGACTTTCAGGTGGAAAGGTGACTAGGACCCCATTGGAAATTTGCACGAATATCCTGAGACTTATTCACATGAAAATTAGACGAAAAGGACTTTGCCTGATATTTGCAAGAACCTACTGGTCCATGAATTCTGTGGTTCTTTTTTTACCCTATTTCTTTCCTATTATTTATTGATTCAGTCTTTATTAACAATATTTTTTGTTGAAATGCCTCTAAATTTCTGTTTTTCATGTTCTCTCTCCCCCCCCCCTCTCTCTCTCTCTCTCTCTCTCTCTTTCTTATTTTCTTGAAATATGAGAACACATTGAAAGAAGAAAGAATAATATAAACATATGAATTAATAAAAATGAAAGAGTTTTTGATTGATTGATTATTATGAACATTTACTGGAACCCACAATGTATCTTTCATGATTGATTATTGTTGTTTGCATCGAGTCGGAAAATTTAAAGCAATTTCTTAAAGCACAATGAATATTTTTAACATTTTAACATTTTACAAGGTTTTTTTAAATAAAAGAGATTACACAAACAACTCCTAGAAAACAAATAAATCGATTATTTTTATATGTAATTGGAAACCACATTATCATAAGAATCCTTACAAACAAAGATCATTGTGGGTTCCAGTAAATGTTCAACCAAGCCTCTTTCGTTACTCTTCACTAAGATATTGACAGGAGAGACGTCAAAGTTAACCTAACAACCAAGTTATATGATAAACGTGACGACTTTAACTTTTTTATCGACAACTCCCCTTACTTATGGAGCAATATACCTTCATCTTCTAAATACAGAGTGTATATATCTCAGGTGATTCGATACGCAAGAGCTTGATCTACGTATGAACAATTTTTAAAAACGAGGTAAATTTTTGAAAAGCAAGTTGATTAAACAAGAATATCAGCTGTCTCTTTTAAAGTCATCATTTTGTAGGTTCTATGGTCGATACAATGATATTGTCAGAAAATACAATTTATCATTGACCCAAATGCTGAGTGAAGTTTTTCATACCAATTGTTAGTCCATTTGTTGAAATATCTCTCCAATTTTCTGCTCTCTCTCTCTCTCTCTCTCTCTCTCTCTCTCTCTCTCTCTCTCTCTGATTTTCCTAATAAATTAAAATGCATTGAAGAAACAAACAATAATTTATTATCACAAAATGAAACAAAAGTATACATTGTAAGCTATGTTTGGAACAATACATACTGAAAACAGAAAAGTTTTCAGTATGTATTGTTCCAAATATCTAGGCATAAGTACTCAATGTAAAGTAAAGATATAACATTGTTTTTTTTTCTACTTTCAAAGACGCCCTCATCAAGAATAAAATACATTTATTTTTTTCTTTAAAGAGCTATTGTGACATTCAAAAGAAAAAAATGAAAAAAAGTAGAATTTTTGCATGAACCGAGTTCATTTCCTAAACGTATAAGGCAGAAATGTACAGGCTTCAGAACATTATTTTATATTCATTTAGAAAAATAAAAGTTGAAATAATTTCCGTATGCCCTACCCTGATAACGAAACCACTCCATTCACTTCCTCCTCCCTATTGTACGCGCGCACGTATAAGTTTAATGCGTTTCTATAGATAACTTAGTCTAAAGTACCTATGAAGGAATGTTAGTAGACCAAAACTTTTGATGCCATCGTTTCAAAAAGTTGTTGTTTTCACCTTTAATTGTTCCATTTTATTTTTTACAAGTTTGAGCTAAAATTAAAAATGCCGTGACCTTGACATAAACGAACACGACGAAAGGATCGATACAATCTTGTTTCTCCCGCACTTATATTGTGCAGTCTTTCTGTGCTTTACAGTGAAGTTCAATTAGCATATCTTCGCAATTTACTAAGTCTTATGATTTCCTCTGTATGCCTAATATTATTATAATAAATATATCTAAAGAGAAACACGTGATTTTGACTCATTGTAATTCTTTCAATTGTTATTTTAGAAATAGAATGTACAGACAAATGTTCTGTAGGTGATAATTCTACATCTGGTGGCTGATGAATAACTGAGAATGGATTTTAAATATTTTATAAAGAGACGGAAATATATGGGTTTGTGAAATTGTGAATTTTTGATGGATTTTGTCCTTGAATACTGCTCATTATATCCATATGTTTCAAGCGTAATGCATAACCGTATAGAGTCTAATTTTCGTCCTTGTCTCATTTTTGCCATTTTCGCTCCTCACACATGTGGTCGAAATTAAAACGAGACACACCCAAATAATAGAATATACCAGAAATATCTTTACAAACTTTGACTTGGAGAATAGAAGACGGGAAAAAACTGTTTAGAACTGTAAGGGTGCAAAAATAAAAAGGGTTGAAAACAATCCTGTAAATACATGAAACATATCATTAATTTACATAAGAGTTTGAAAAAAATCATTTGGTAAAAGGGTTAAACACTACATGTAAAAAGAGTTTTTGCACAATAATTCTATTGTAATTTATCATAATGAGAAGGTTGACTTATTTGACCAAGTTCCTGGTACCCAGCGTTGTCTTCCACTTTATCATAGATTTCTATGTTAGGTGCGGTGTGCTCTGTTGACAACTCTTTTGTGGTTTTTCTCTCTACATTTGATTTAATACACGTTCTATTTCTAAAAAAGCTAAATAAAAAAAATACATGAAAATCTTCATAGATTAATCAAATAATATTTCAATAGGGTTAGTCATTTGTCTACAAAATTTAATATATGAAAACCTATAACATGTTTTAATTGAAAGATGTATTAAAAGATGAACTCACAAAATTCCAAAGAAAAAATTTAAAGCGATGCTTAAGCAGAGAGCTGATATAACTCCGTAAAGAGATGGATAGTAATTGCTGTTGATACTCAAACCTAATTGTTGTCCCATCACTGAAATAAAAAAAAAAAACAAACTAATCTCGCAACAAGTCGTCACAATATTACTTGGGAATATTGAATCAGTTCACATTTTTTTAATTTCAACGAAATTTTTTTTCTTCAATTTAAATGCATGTAAATAATTATTGTTAGTAAGTAGAAATAAAAAAAAAATATATTTATAGGCAGGGCAACCATATTCCTTTTAAATAATATCAAAAAAAAAATGTACATGTCTTTCGAATAATAATCTTAATAAGTAAACATAAATCACAGTAAAATAAAAACTTCCCTGATGTAGAGTCATTTTATGATAGATGATCCTTTCGGGGATCTTAAAAATGTATCTACCACTCAACAAAGGCATACGAAATAAACAAAAAAAAAAAAACCTAAATAAATAAATAGCTTTAATATTTGTATAACATACCCCTTAGAACGATGATAACAACATCGACGCCAGCGATGACTACAACTATTACGACATACAATGGACAAATCTTGATCAGAAAAATTTACTAAAGAGCATGCCGCTTAAATGAGCTAAAAATTAGTAAACGTTCCCTTGCATGTACATATATGTCCAAATCCAGAGGTAAATTTATGAGTCGTGTATAAATTTGATCGGTACAAATGTTTAGAAATTATGAATTAAATATGTTTTGAGTGAAATTGACTTTTAACTGAATTTTTCTGGGGGATCGTATGAATTTTATCTTATTTTGTATAAATTGCGATGTAGAGCAAAACATGCTCCTTCTTTTCTTTCGTGGGTAAGTGGAAATTCTCGTTTAATATTTTCTTAAGAAGTGTAATTCATATTTGCCTCCAGCACTTTATGTATATACAATATACAAAAGATTATAATGCATTAGAAAATGTAACAAACTTTTCACAGTAATTTTGTTTTGCACTATCCAATTTTTGTTCAACGTGTAAGTTTTCATTGGTGTTCGTCACGTGGTCAGACAAAGTCATGTGTCAAAACAAAAATGTTTATTGTTATACTTGAATAGATCCTTACTACGAGTTGACTGGGAATTCATGTTTTAAAGGATATTGACATTGAAACCAAGCACAAAAAAAATAAATAAATTTTTAATGCATTTTAAGATTTTAATAGCTTTAACATAGCTGTGTTCCCTACCCGAACCCAGACAGATTCATAGAGAGGTTTTTTTTTATCTACATATCAGACCTTGTATTTTGAATATTCTAAACTACCGGTAAATGATTTTTTTTTTTGGGGGGGGGGTGATGGTCAGACATATAGGAATTATGTTTTCAGTGCCTTTTAAGCATCAGTATGCATGCTCAAATCTAGTTGAGATAAAATTGAATCATGGATTATAAATAATGTTAATAAAAAAGAAGGAATTATTACCGCTACATTGCCCCGAAATGGCGTCACATGTCGTTGGAACTCTACAGTTGATATTGCACGTCTCCTGGCAGTTGTATCCATAAAGCCCGTCAGGACACGCTGTGGAAAAACAAGTTCATATGGATACTTTATATATCTCCAAAAACATCTTCCATCTGTTTTTCAATCTCAAATTGAATTTTGATTCATTTCGTTTCTTTGCAATGTTTGCTTAAAACATGAAGATCTATATCTGTTTTTTATTGATTTATTTTCTAACTAATTTATAATATACTTTAACATTAAGTAACTTATCTACAATTTAAATCAAACACTATTTTGGTAAGTATTCGTATTTCATTGAATACATTATTTGTATGCTGTTTGTTTAGATGTTTCACACCCTTTTCGGAATTTTTCAATCATTGTGAAACACCGTACCGCTTTTTCTTGGAGTAGGATTGTAAACTTTTGAAAAGTGACTATAATCCTTTTTGTGCAAGAATCTACTATGACAAAATGTGTGTCCAATCGAAAGGACTGGTCTTCATGTTGCACAGAGGACTCGTTGCAAAGGACCAGCTCCTAACAGTGCCACTGTAAATCATTAGCTATCAATATTGCTATTCTACAGTAAACCCTGTAACTACTGCACCACAAATGCAACCTTTTATTGGATGAGACTGTAAACTATTTTGGGACCAGAATTTTATTTTTTTTTTTTTGATATGCGTAGAAATTAAAAAAAAAAATCAAAATTATATTAGTAATATTTCTTGAAGATACCCTTAAGTCTATTACCTTGCGTACAATTGATTCCTCTGTAACCTTTATCGCAGCCATTCAAGCATGAACCATTTATGTGATGACATTGTTCTTTATCAAGACAAACCCCGCATGACTGAGCACAATTTTGTCCGTATTTACCACCGTCACATTCTGTAAATATAATATCGAGTGCGTATGTGGTTCAAATTTTTTTCCCTCAAATTGTTCATGTTCTTCAAAAAAAAACACTGAAAGGGGCCTTTACAGTAATTGTACTGAAAGAATTAAAATTTATTAAAAGAATCAATTTGATATGTAAGCTAAGCACAAATAAATAATAGGTTAGGTTTTCTTTATCCATTAGAATGGCCTTGTGTATATCCAAGTCCGATCGTCCCTTTTTAAACATACATGACTGTTATAGTATTAAAGGAGGACAGTGTGCTATCATTTTATATTGAGATATCGTTTACGAACTTTTCATAAAATGAAGCAATTTATTACGATATGATATATCGACAAAATAATACGCTATCTAAAAAAGATATGCATCTTAGAACTTTTTTCTTAACTTGTCGGTTCATGATTGTGCTTATATATGATGATAAATGTTACATGCCCGAGTATCGTCTTTCCTCAAAAGATCACTTACACAAATGTTACATCAAACTATAGTTTACTATAGTTATCTTTAGTGTGCTATAATATGAAATAAAAACTTTTTATTTACTATATGAAAACGTTGGTACTTTGATTAACTATAGCAAAATACTTTTGGACATTGATTTACTATAATATCAAATTTGGAACTTTCATTTACTGTAGTAAAAACTTTGGGACTTTGATTTAGTGTGGTGAAAACTTTTGAACTTTGAATTACTATAGTGAAAAATTTGGAATTTTGATTGAGTCTAGTTAAAACATTGAAACGTTGATTTACTATGTTGAAAACTTTTGAACTTTGAATTACTATAGTGAAAAATTTGGAATTTTGATTGAGTCTAGTTAAAACATTGAAACGTTGATTTACTATGTTGAAAACTTTTGAAACTTTGATGTAATAAGATGAAACTTTGGAACTGTCATCTAGTGCGATAAAATGTATGAAATTATTTTTTTATGTTTTCCTTTCTGTAAAGAGGTAGAGCCACTTTGGGCTTCATTTGGCCATGAGAATTTCTGAAATTTCAAAACCGCTCAGTTTAGGTTGCAAATGCAGTATTTATTACTTGGACTGTCGGTGACCACGTATCTATTAATTGTGACGTAATTTCACATCTAGTCAGTGCATTATGACGTCATAAAATGCGTCATTTTCCTCATATCCTGTAAATTCCTTTGAAAATGACCTAAAGATGAAGCGTTTTTTCAATATTTCATATAGAGCACAATCTCTGATCCAAAATATGCCAATACATAATGAAAGGCCTATTTCTGAAGATCAAAAAACATGTTTTATTTTTTGGATCGTGGGCTGTGCTCATATTTAAATTCTTTGCTGAAGGTAGTCAAATAGGCATATTTTCTGCAAATTTCAAGAACATCGCAATTTCTCAAAGCCTGTTTTTAAATATTTGGATTCTCAAAACGAAATTTCATTATAGAACATGAAAGCACCAAGTGTCTACTTTATCTTGATATATGAAAATGGAAAGAGGGTGATAGATAATTAATTGATATAAGTACAGGGCCATTTTATGCAAAAGATGGCTCTTGCTCTTTTACATGATTTTTCAAGATGCAGATTCATGAAAGCTTCAGAAAACTTTTTTAACAAGACCTTTCCCCAAAAGGCATAATCTAATGGAAATCAATTTTATGTAAATGTTGTTTATTGCGCCAATAAAATAAGCAAAATTTATTTAAATCTATTCAATTTTAATGTTATACAGATGTAGCGTCTCTTACAGTGTATTTAATGAGAAAAAAAACTACGAAAATAGATTTGCGTCATTTAGAATTATTTTATATACATGTATTTGAATTTAAATGTTCAACAAAATCCAGATCCAACCAACCCCATATCACCCCTTTGAAATGTTTAGATATTCAAAATAACTTGATAAAAATACATAAGTTATAAAACTAACAAAAGGACTCCAAAATCTTGATAAACTACAGTAAAAACGTTGGAACTTTAATTTACTATAGTGAAAACTTTAGAACTTTAATTTGATAAAATAAATTACGGCTAACTACAGATTACTACATTTTATTTCGGTATGATCGTCAAGTTTGTGTAATATATTTGATTTAGACATTAAGTTCCTAGAAAAAACTTACGTTTGTCACATTTCGATTCTTTCCACCCTGGTTGACATCCACCTTGGCATTCCCCTGTTACTCTGTTACATCTATTAGGAACCCCACAATTAATGTTACATCCCTCTCTGCAGTTGTACCCATATTGCCCCTCAGGACATTCTATTAGGAAATAATACACAAAATTAACAGTAACATTTCACTTTTACTACTTAAACAGGTAACTTTCATTAAAATTGTTTTCTGAGCGTGGCTGTACACAAGATGCTAAAAATAGATGAAGAAAATAAAAATCATTTTAGGTGCACAAATTCCAATAACATAAATCTTTATATTTTTTTCTGAGAGGGTAAATAAAACAATAAATATAATTAAATATAATATAATTAAAGCAATATTATCACAGATAATTCAATTTATGCCGCTATGAGAAATATATAATATTTTACACCTTAGGATAATTCTGCATATCCCTGCGCAGTCTGCACGATGTGCGCCTTTATTGCAGGGCAATTGTCATATAACCTCTCACTGCAAAATTGCAACCTTTGCTTATCTTGACAGAGAAACCCAATCAAAATCCTTGATTTTGTTGCGCCATTTTTGTTAGCCTGGTAGTGCCTTAAAAAAAACCCAAAGTTTTTGTACAATCATTCAGTATAATGTTTTAAGTATTTTTGTGGAAGCATTCAATATAACATTTCAAAGCTTATGTCGAAACATTCAATTTAATGTGTCAAGTTTGTTTTGGAAACATTCAGTATAATGTTTCAAATTTTTTGGGAAACATTCAGTATAATGTTTTTAAAGTTTTTGTAGAAACATTCAGTATATATGTTTAAAAGTTTATGTCAAATAATTCAGTATAAAGTTTCAAGTTTGTTTTGGAAACATTCGATATAATGTTTCAAAGATTTTGTGAAACTATTCAGTATCATGTTTCATAGTGATGTATTAGTGTTTGTGGACACATTTAGTACAATGTATCAAAGTTTATGTTGAAACAGTCAGTATAATGTTTTGAATTTTGTTTTGGAAACATTCAGTATAATGTTTCAAGTTTTGATGGAAACATGAAGTATGGTGTTTCAAAAGTTTTCTGGAAACAATTTTAGTAATACTGTATAAAGTTTCTAGTCTTTGTGGAAGCATTCAGTATAATGTTTCAAAGTTTTGTGGAAGCATTCAGTATAATGTTTCAAAGTTTTGGGTGGAAACATTCAGTATAATGTTTCAAAGTTTTGTGGGAGCATTCAGCATAATGTTTCAAAGTTTTTTGTGGAAACATTCAGTATAATATTTCAAAGTTTTGTGGAAGCATTCAGTATAATGTTTCAAGTCTTTGTTGAAACATTCAGTATAATGTTTTAAAGATTTTTGGAAGCATTCAGTATAATGTTTCAAGTTTTTGTGGAAACATTCAGTATAACGTTTCAAGTTTTGGGTGGAAACATTCAGTATAATGTTTCATAGTGTTTGTGGAAACATTCAATATAATGTTTTAAAGGTTTTGTGGAAATATTCGGTATCATGTTTCATAGTCATGTATTAATGTTTGTGGTAACATTCAGTATAATGTTTCAAGTCTATGTAGATATTATTCTGTATAATGTTTCAAAGGTATTTTGGAAACATTCAATATAATGTTTCAAATTTTTTATGGAAACATCCAGTATAATGTTTCAAAGGTTTTGTGGAAATTTTCATTATAATGTTTCATAGTCATGTATTAGTGATTGTGGAAACATTCAGTATACATGTAATGTTTCAAAGTTTATGTCGAAACATTTGGTATAATGTTCTTTGTTTGTTTTGGAAACATTCAGTATAACATTTCAAAGTTTTTTTTGGAAACATTCAGTATAATGTTTCAAGTTTTTCGTAGAAAAAGTTCAGTATAATGTTTCATAGTATTTGTGGAAACATTCAGTATAATGTTTCAAAGTTTTTGAAGAAACATTCTGTCCATACTATTTATACCTTTGTGGAAACATTCTGAACAGTGGTTTAATTGTTGAAAGAAAAAAAATGAAAATCATATCAGTAGAAACATTCTGTTTCATCTTGCAATTTGAAGAGGAAAGAACTTTCAGTATTATGAGAAACAGATATTTTAAATAATTTGTTTCATGCGGTACATGTAGCATGAGTTCAGCAAATTGCTGATCATGTAAAATTGTTTCTCATTTTGTTTGAGTTCCAGTATCTACATATTCCTAGGCTTTAGTAGTGCATTACACTCATACACTATTTACCATTGTATTCTGTTACTTGTAGCAGTACATCAATGCCAAGGGCCAACATGAAATATAAAGTGATCAACACCTAACTTCATGCAGTACCAACCAAGGCACACAAAATGGAGAGGCAATGTAGCTTACAAATTTCAGATGGCGAAAGTTGTGCATTATTGGATTGACAATTGCAAAATTGTTGAAACAGTGCTCTCAGATAGAACCTCTAATGCGGATATATGATCAAGCGATCAACTAGATCATTCAAGGATTTAAGTGCTCTGGGCATGATGCCAGCTGTCTTCATAGTAAACTGTTGGAAAATGATGCCACCAAAGTTTGAAATCCATACCAACAGGAAGGACAAGCTACACCTCAATATGCTCAAGCTCCTGTAGTGGATTCTATGTAGATATCTGTGTTGAATGGCAAATATCATTTTCTCCAACAGGTACTGCCAAGGAAATTCATATAGAGCAGTCAGCACCTGTCATTTATCTTCTATGTAAAGTAAGATGAGGCAATGTATTAGCTTCTTATGTAGCATAAATTGTGCTGTCATTAATTTTGTAAATCTGGTCATGAGACAAGTAAAGAGTTTGATAATATTGCACAATGTACATCCTCTATAGTCGTCAACTCTGTATAATTCAGCTCAATTTTTTTATGAGGTCAGCACTTAGCTGCTTTTGCAAAATGTATTTTAGGTACTGAGCCCAGTATTGATGTACTTGTAATGAATCCATAATCTGCTTACAAATGTAAATGAATGCATCATTGAATGATTGAAATCGGCCTGCATAGTCTTTGAGCTACATGTAAGATGATGGCTACTCATTTAAATTGTATGTTTAAATCTGCTTCCATAGTCTTGCATTAAGATACATGAGTTAAGCGGATAGCTGCTCGTGTAAATTGTACGTTAAAATCTGCTTAAATAGTCTTGAGTTGAGATACATGAGTTAAGCGGATAGCTGCTCATGTAAATTGTGTGCTAAAATCTGCTTGCATAGTCTTGAGTTAAAATACATGAGTTCAGCGGATAGCTGCTTATGTAAATTGTACGTTAATATCTGCTTGCATAGTCTTGAGTTGAAATACATAAGTTCCGCGGATGGGTGCTCATGTAAATTGTGCGTCAAAATCTGCTTGCATAGTCTGGAGCAAAGATACATGAGTTCAGCAAATTGCTGATCATGTAAATTGTGCGTCAAAATCTGCTTGCATGTCTTGAGATAAGATACATGAGCTCAGAGGATAGCTACTCATGTAAATTGTGTGTTAAAATCTGCCTGCATAGTCGAGAGTTAAGATACATGAGTTCAGCGGATAGCTGCTCCTGTGAAATTGTATGATAAAATCTTGCTTGCATAGTCTTGAGTTAAGATACATGAGTTAAGCGAATTGCTGCTCATGTAAATTGTGTGTTAAAATCTGCTTGCAAAGCCTATGTTAAGATACATGAGTTCAGCGGATAGCTGCTCATGTAATTAGCATGTTAAAAATTCTGCCTGCATTGTCTTGAGGTTAGATTAAGACCTTCATAATTTCACATATATATACTAAATATTCCGTGCAGTGATTTTGCCTTCCCTTGATCCACAATTTAACAGCTAACAGGTGAATGTTAATGTCTTTGTTGCATCAGTATTTGTTATTTATCAAGAACACATAAATCTTTAAAGGATGTAACATCATATATGAACTTCACGTTCAATATCGTTATATGCGAAAAAATACTTTTAAAAAATGCTGTAAATTTCTGTATTTTGCTGTTTTTATAAAAGAAAGAAATTCTTTTGATTTTCTCCTTGTTTGGCGTCAACCCCTCACTGCGTGACACTGCCTGAGGGCTTGTGGCGCAATTGTTATGATGCCTGCAAGGATTTACTCATTTATGTTAGATTTTATGCATATTTACATGTACTCTGATATGTTCACTGCATGTAAATTTCTAGTCAGTCTCAGGGGGATCACACTTGTATCCTTCACCTATGTACATGTAACCTGTATTGTCTAATATAAGGTGATCCCCCTTAATGATTTGTTATACATTTTACTTTATGCCATTCAAGTAAATGACATAATCGACAAAACTGCATATCTGTGTTTGGTTATTTTTTACTGCACTATCAGGCTGATATTTCTCATAGGAGGCATAAATAATCATTGTGTTTGATTAAAAATTCTTAAATCCCCCTGTAAAGCTTTAACTCAACCAGAATAAGCTGTTAACCAAGGGCGTTTGAATAATAATTTCACCAATCAGATTCCATAGAATACAGGATTCAGTTAATCTTTACATTTTTCACGAATGGTTTGGTTTTAATCTATAATCTTACCGTCTTCAAAATGTAGTTATTAACCATAATTACAATTACCCGATTTGAATAATGTTTTAAAAATAATTGCCATCCTTTTTATGAATACACTTTTTATGCAAAATGTTGTCTACATTCCCAACGCGCACCTTAACTGCACTGCGAAGTTGATGTTTAATTCTTACTCGATACATGTAAGTCATTTTCCTATAGGACTGAAATTAGAGGCTTCATCAAAGCTGGCATGAGGTTGGATAGAGACTCAAAAGATATTTAAAAAAAAACAGCATCGATCTTGCAAAAATATCCAATAACATTGCCAAATGATGATCCACTAATACTTAAGCAGATATAATATGAGAAGGTAATTCATCATGGACAGTTTATACAACTTTAAAAACATCTTGAACTCTAAAATATTGGTTCGAGATGGATACTCCGTCTTCTGTTCCAAATAAGGATATACGAAAAGTGTTATCGTAGATGTTTTTCGGAAATACGTGGGTATGTTGAGAAGTATTGAAATCATTTCTCTTAAAATTTAGACACTTGGAAGAAAGTTTATTCTGATTGGCTATCATAGCAAATTATAAAACATAAATTATTATTAACGTTTTCTATTAACTATTGCATAAAGGTCAACTTTTGAATGCTATTACTTGCGAAAAATTCCTCAAGTTTAACATTACCAGAACAAAACAATCCAAGGGTTCAGTACGATCTTTGCCTGCATTATAAATGATAAAGTTAACAACATTTATTTTGCCCAACAATTTCTGTTACAATCCCACTATTCGACCGGAAAACATTTTCATCGCCTCTACCCGGTAAATAGTATGAAATTGTTATTAAATATTCAAAGTTTATAATCTAGTCTCATTTGCTTTAAAAATAAGAAAGAATTACTTGCTTTCATTTACACAGCTTCGCACACTTTTTAAGTTTACATAATTATTCGAACAAATTAAAGTCACACTCTTCTTGCAATAAATCTGATCACTATCGAACTTCAGTATGAGGCATAACCCGAATATAAGCAGTTGAACAGATAGGAAAGACCGTTATTACTTTGCGCTTTAGAGTCATGTTAATGTATAGAAAATACATAAGATACATTGGCTGCAATTTTCTTGTATCTAGGCAAGATAAAAAACTGTATTTAAAAGAACGGATACAAGGACGTCGACATCCAAAAAGAATATCAGAACCCAAATTAAATATCTGCCATAGTCTTGTAACTCAGAGCATTAATGTGTGAAATATTTTTTAAACTGTTGAGATCAAATCATTAATAAGTTATCAAAAAACTTTTTAGAAAAATACATTTTGTTGCTTAGTTAGATAATTTTGCATGATAGCAATGTGACTTTAATTTGTGCAAAAAGCAATTTAAATAAAAAAAAAGTTCGCGGAGCTGTACAAATTGGAAGTAAGAATTATCTTATATACCTTTAGAACATCTCTCTCCCTGAAATCCTCTGTCACATCCATTTAAACATGTTCCATTGATGTGGTGACATTGTTCAAAATTAAGACACGAACCACAAGAGATATTGCAATCTTTACCGTAACGCCACCCATCACATTCTAAAGGAAATTTGAATTTGCATTTATATACCTAATACCTTTAAGAAGAAATTACACTCAATATTCTAATTAGAAAAATAAGATATTCTAGGCATAAAAAAAATACTGCTGTAATGCAATCATCCCTGATTGCCTTATCAGACGGGTGATCAAACAGTTTGTGAACTAAATAAAAGAAATAAGATTATATTTCAGTGTTCATTATTTCGCACTGTACATGTATTCCTCCCCTATTTAAATGTGCTTCTCCCATCGTTCTGTTCATGTGTAAATGATGTAATCTAGGCGGAATTTGACATGCTCTGTAGGGTTCTGTCAGAAAAATATTATCCTTACGAACTCTTTATTTCTTTCCAAGTTATTATTTAGTTGCATACAACGTCCAATTCGAATGATAGGATTGGTGGATACATATATCCTTTTTTTCAGAATGAATGTGATTACAAGAACCTAAGTTCTGGTATGTGTCGTGGCTTTATGTCTGCCAAATCTCATTCCCATCGATATCTGAATTATGGATTTGTACATGTATGTATAAAAATAGTCTGCGAACTTTATGATAACATCTCATATATATTTTCAATTTTTAAATATACAATTTATGTAGTTCTAGATAGTCGAATAAAGCTTTGATGTTTTTTAATAGGGAATTTTCTTGTATATATTATTCCATTTTTAAACCTTTTTTTATTTGCGTTGCAACAGTTATGCCAAATTTTGCATTTGATAAAAAGGGAATAAAATGAAAGAAAGATAACGGTCTTAAAATATGTATTCATACCACTTTCGCAAAAGGTCCCCTTCCATCCAGGGTTACACCCAAATTCGCAGACACCAGTAAATCTGTTACAGCCTCTACAATTCTGTTTACAGGATTCAAGACAATTCTTCCCGTGTCTACCAAAAGGACAAGCTGTTGAAATGTGATTTTTAATATATAAGACACACAAGAAGTTGTTACTAGAAAGTACAAAGTATGCAAAACAATAAATAATTCCCCATTTTCTTCAAAGGGGGGATGCTCTTTCAATTTAGATATACGCAGCACTGTTAAGGCTTACTGTGAGATATCAACGGAAAATAGAAGTGCCAAAACAGATATTGTTTTTAAAACTGAATTTATTTTTATTCAGCTGCTTTATTATCACAGAACTTAAACCGAAGCGGTTTATAAAAAAGCGTAACGCGGGTATGTTAAGGAAGCATATAAGTAATTTCTCGGGAAATTTAGACTTTTTGAAGAAAATTTAGTTTAATAAATTACCAAAACCACTGATAAATGTAAACTGTTATTTACTATTGCATACAGATAAAAGCGTGTCTAACGCAAAGACGTGCATCACCGCCACGACATCACGTGACTTCTATTGATAGCAAAATTTTCCTTTATAAAAAGGCCTATAGAACAACAATACCTCGGAGTTTGATAATTTCTTTGAGTATGTAATATAGCTGAAAAACATCTATTTTGTCTAAAAACTGCTGCTAGAATCCAACTATCTTGTCCGTAAAATATTTATTCCACACATTCGCACGAAACCTTACCCTTTGTTTTGAATTTTATACATATGAATCGAGATTTTTCGTACAACCATGCTTAACTCGGAATTCTAGCAGCACTTTCCAAGTTTGTCAGAACGCAAACTTTAAATCTGTACAAATCGTATGTTTTGAAATATCCAGCTTATTGTTGTTCTGTTGCAATTTTTGGTCAAGAATGTCAGACGATAGGCCGACCGGGATACGTAATATAGCTGACTGTCTTCGAAAGATAATATAATGGATGAAAATAAATTAGCATACCTGTTAAATTTATTAAACTCCATATGAATTTAAAACAATATTTCCGATATTTCTTTTTAAACTCTATTTTACCTATCTTTGAACATGCCGTCTTAGCCAAATTCTCTTTACACGACATGATTAATTTCCAAGTTACTCGATGTACACATATGACGTCATCGGTGGTAGATTTCAATCATAATGACTGTTACAGCATAACAAAATAAAAACATTTTATTTTCGTTAATGTTTACACGTTTCTAATCATTTTCTAGAGTTAAATTACATCGCTAAATACCAATATAACGAAAACCTGATTTCTAAAATTGACGTCATCTTGCCTACTATGACGTCATATTGCAGCACTGATTTAGCCAAGGTAGAATATTTTGTATGCTTCCTTATTCCCCCTGCGAAACTGTGCCAACCCTCTAATTGTACTGTTAATTAAGATATATTGATAATTTTAAATGTCTACTTTGATCACACTTGGTCCCTTCCCAGCCAGCCTGACATCCGCCCTGACACTTCCCAGTTGTTCTGTTACATCTACCGGGGATTCCACAGTTGATCTTACATGTTTCATTGCAGTTGTAACTATAGCGTTCGACAGGACATTCTTGGAATAAAGGAAATATCTCTAATATGTAAGTCATTAAGCATGATGCAAGTAATAGTGAACTGTTAATGCACAATAATTTCGGGTTATTGAATTGATATTGGCACGAGTTGCCTGTTCGAATCTGTACAGCTAACTAAGGCCGATATTAAGCAATATAAGTTCAATAATCTTTCATTTTATACCTAAAACATCCATCATAGATTTATTTAAATTACATGTATACAAATTAAGAAGAATGTTCAGTTTCGATATTTAAATAAACGTTTGTCCTGCATTTGTTCAATATCTCCAAAGAAAGTATTATTCACCTTCAGTACATATATCTCCTTGGAATCCTCTGTCACATCCTTTGAAACATGTCCCATTAATGTGGTGACATTGTTCTAAATTTAAACACGTTCCACATGACAGACCACAGTCTTCTCCGTATGTCCGGCCATCACATGCTGCAAAAAATAGACATTTGATATTGTTCAACGAAATGATCCACAAAGTAATTTCTTATTGTACATGTAAAACTAATCAAAACTGGAATTAAAGTACCATCTTTACAGAAGATTCCCTTCCAACCAGGTATACATCCGAACTCACAAATACCAGTAAATCTGTTACAGCCGTTGCAGTTAATACCACAGAACTCAGTACAATTCTTTCCGTGCCTATCCGAAGGACATTCTGTCAAGATAGAAATATCTTTTCTTTTCTTTTTAAATGAAGGTAATCATTCTTTGAGCATTTTGAAAATTACAAACTTTCTGTTTCTTTTGAAAATATATTTTGCTTGTCTTAAAAAAAAAGGATAACAGTTTTAGCTGTGTTATCTTCAAATGATATGCTTTGAAGGAAAAAATAGAAAAAAGATCAATCCATATGTGTTATCATAGAAAACATTCTCATAATAAATCAAGGCCTGTCTTTCTGTACATCATCAATTTTATTTTATATAATTTACATTTTTACATATAGATATTAGCAAACGAGAGCACGTGCACGAAAGCCAGTTTAAAGATATTTTTTTTTCATTTGATATATACGTACATGCTTAACATAATACTTTTGTAACGTTTCAATAATAACATTTTTTGTTAAGTAGAATGATATAAATTTCATCGAAATTTCTATTCTTTGATATTAAAATCAAAGGATGACTACTCCTCCATGGTTTCACATATCTAGTCTGTGTTTGTTTAACTTTTAATATGTATATCTAATTGTTTTTATGATATAGCTTTTTTTTTGGGGGGGGGGGGGGCGGAAGAACCATATATTATATTTGTTGTATTAATTAATATAAGCATTAATGTGTATTTATACTGAGATTTCTTTTTTAAACAACAGTTTAATTGGGATCAAAATTAATGTAATATAAAACAACGAGGGGTTTATATAATTCCTATTAATTGACTCATGTTTTTATCTAATCTTATCAGAAATATTTACGAAGATTCAAATTTTTATATTGATATCGTTTGTCGAAATCCTTTTTTTGTGAATATTTACAATTGTACTACTTTTATCACGTGAACTGACCTTGATCACACTTAATGCCTTGAACACCAAAGTCACATCCGTTCGGACAACTTCCGTTCACGTGATTGCATTGTTCTACGTTGCTACAGTTACCGCAAGTGATATTGCACTCAGGTCCGTATCTATTATTATCACACTCTAAAGATAATGAAATAAGTTATTTTTGTCCAGTACAGTAACTTTACACTGAAATCTTATATAATTATCAATAATAATCAGTTCATGTCATCTCAAAGAACTATATGCGGTATATTGCATATGTTTGCCCCCACAAAAGTCAAATTTTGAAAACTTCCTGAAATGTGCTGAATTCAATAAATTGTACGAGAAATATAAGTTAACAGAAAATATTATAGTTCCAGAGCAGTGTATTCACAATTTCTGTTTTTATGACGTCACAAACTAGTCCGATTTTATATCCTTTTCCAGAAAGAGGACAAAATGGAGAAAATTTCAACAATTTAAGCTTTAGAATTTATAGAGCGCATGTGTGTTCAGGAACAATATTGACATATTTCATTGATATTATCATTCTACACATTATATCAAAATATTAATCCTGAACACACATGCGCTCGGTGACTTTTATTTAAAATGTCGACGAAATATGTACATTTTTCTGCAAAATTCATAAAAAACTGAAATTTACGTCATATTTGTGACGTCATTACGTACATATGACGTCATTACTTATGAAATTATTCAGTGCTTTGATGTCAGCATATACTCCCCTGTTTAAGGACTTAATTAAATATTACTCCATCAAAGTTTGATTTTGGGGGGCAAATGTTGGTTAATACCGCATATAGTTCTTTGCTTAAATATTTATTTTACATTCTGATAAAGTATTGAATAGATTATTCAACTCTTTCCCTAAACTGTGCGTCCATGATGAAACGCAAACACCATCTTTCAATTCATCAAGATCATATTTGGTGAAATCACGGACAGTATTACCACAAGCAAAGTTGTAAAAATCAGTGCAGGATCGGTTGTTACGAACATTAATTTCTGTTTAAAGTTTTTCAAAGAGATCCAATGTAGATTTATTTATTATCATTGAAACAAATGGGGATAACGAACAGTATTAACGATCAAAAGTCCATAATTGTATAGTATTAACGATCAAAAGTCCATAATTGTATAGTATTAAAGATCAAAAGTCCATAATTGTACAGTATTAAAGATTAAAAGTCCATAAAATAATACAAATAGGAGCAGCACACCAAAACATCAGAGGTGGGATCAGGTGCTAAGAGGCGTAAGCATCCCCTGCTGACCAGTCACACCTACAAAGTGCTCCTTGTCATGATCGAGAAATAACGAGAAATCCGTCGTCAAAATCAGTATAACGTTGATAAATAATAGCCTGACAATAACATAAAAACGTCAATTTATCTTGAGAATTTCATGTATGTCCTAATTCTTGCTTTATCTCGCACTCGTTAACTATAAACATGACAAGATTCACCTTTTAATTTGTATTGTAAATAAAGATATATTGATAATTTTAAATGTCTACTTTTGTCACATCTTGTTCCTTCCCATCCCGCCTGACATCCGCCCTGACATTCCCCTGTTGTTCTGTTACATCTACCAGGGACTCCACAGTTGATGTTACATGTTTCATTGCAGTTGTAGCCATATCGCCCGACAGGACATTCTAGGAATACAGGAGGTATGTCTAATATGTAGGTCATAAAGCATGATGCAAGTAATAATGAACAGTTAATGCACGATAATTTAGGATTATTAAACTTATATTGGCACGAGTTGAATGTTTAAATTAGTACAGGCAACGAGCGCGTATATTAACCACTGTAAGGTCAATAAATTCTTTATTATATAGCTAAAACATCTCCCATACATACACTTACAAAAAAAACACAATGTATTTCAACTAAATAACACAAATTAAGAAGAGTTTCCCTTTTATGTATTTAAATTAGCGTCTGCCCTGCAAGTGTTCAATATCGCATCATTTCAATGCCCCTTCCTAGCGTTACGATCTGTTTATGGAGGTAATATTGATGCTTATATATGTACTGAATTATGAATAAACAATGCAAATTTTGAGTGAAAATAAACACTTCTTACCTAGAAGCCACTATTTATCAGAAATCTGCCTCCGATATGTTGACCAGACGACAATTCTTGTTTACAAGGGGGCGTTCGATATTGAACGCTCGTATTTGGAATATTTCGGGAGTTCTCATATACGTTGTGCAAACTAATCGTTCATTAAAACACTAATATATTAAAAGCTAAAATTCTCTAGATTTTTAGTAGTTTTTTATGGACTATTCATTAGGCACATAATAATAAGTAAGATTGTTTAGTGATCAATTTTTTTCCAAGATGTTTGTCTTTATGCAAGAACTCAATAATAATTCTTAAGAGATCTTATCTTTATCATTTTGAATTGTTTGAAAATAGGACTAAATATATACCATTTACCTGAAACACACCTCTCTCTTTGAAATTCTTTGAATTAATAATTCTATCAGAACTGATGAAAAAAATAAGAGCACAAGTATTGTTACCTTTTAAGGAATGTTTCAACGAAACTCAAGTAAATATGTCTATGTACACCAGTGAAGGACTTCAAATTTTGACCTTTACTCAGCACTATAAGGACAAGTACGCAGTGAGGAATCTCTGTCGTACGAACGCCTGCCATCAAAAGGGTTTTAAGGTCTCGTCCGAAGGTTCAGTGCAAGCCCAACCGTGTGGCAAAGGAACAGTTGCTACCCATTTTGTTATCGACCTATGTGAGTTTCGACAGCCCTATCAGGGAGTGGGCGATCTACCGTCTGAGTTACAGTGAGCATTTTTCTTTAGAAAGGAAAGACATATCGGATACAATGACATTGTTAAGAATTACAATCATTGTAATGTCGATTTTTTTCATGTAAAATGTTTTGCTTTTTTTAATATTTGAAATAAAGGGGCGCTTAATTACTTCTCTGTGACATCTATGACCAACGAAATCATATATTGCCTTTTTCTTAAAAAAAAAGCAAGGAACTATATGAAAAAAGTTAATGTAAAATGAAACAATGATGAGATCATGGTGTCCCAATTGTCTCTTATTTCAATATTATCTGATTTAATGCGTTGAAGAATAGATGCATAATACCTCTTATTGATATCTTTTAACGATATTCCTGTAGTTTTATTATTTCTGACAATGATTTTGTTTAATCACATTAACTGACCTTGTACACATTTCTCTCCTTGGAAACCGACGACACATCCGTTGGGACAAATTCCGTTCACGTGATTGCATTGTTCTTCGTTGCTACAGTTACCACATGTCAAATTACACTCAAGGCCGTATCTATTATTATCACACTCTGAAAATTATGAAATACACAACCCCTGTGAAATACTTTTAATGGAAATTAAAAATAGTTATACAGCACCCCCCACCCCACAATTAACTTACTATTTCCTCATTGACTTCAATTATGAATGCAAGAGGCATTTTAACAAGGGCTTCTTAATTGTCCCTTTCGATAAATTTTCACTCATATGGAGAAGCCACCACTTTCCAGTGGAAAGCGGTAAATTTTGTTCTACGCCCGGCACTCAGGCCATATAGCTGTGAGGTGTCTTTTTGTGCCAGCACCAGACATGAGAGCTCGGTTTTATCCAAAGGACCGGTCTCCATGTCCCACAATCTTCAAGTCCCACAGTTGGATTTGAGCAGATGCCCTAAACACTTCGTATTTTTAGGGCGTAGACAAAAAAGTATAGATTAATTTTATTATCTTGTTCATAAAATATTCAAGTTAAATGCAGAGATTAAAAATCAACTTATCTTTCTCTCTTTCAAAAAAATTTTTTTATCTCCTAAACATATTACTTTTTAGTTATTCTACATTTCAATGTTCATTTCGTTTATATTCTGTGAAAACTGAGACAATATTATTACTCGGAAAGTTACCATAATCAGCACATAGTTGGGTATTTTGTAAATTGAGAACAATTTAAAAATTCTGCAATTTGTTCTTGTTTCATATCCAAAAAGGATTTCTGTAAACATATTCTTTTTCAAGTTCAAATTTTAAACAGAGTGATTGAATTATTGATTGTATATTGTTTAACGCCCCACTCGAGAATTTTTCACTCATATTGAGACGTCACTGTTTGCCGGAGAAGGGCTCCAAATTAAGACCTGAACTCGGCACTCGTGGTCATTAAGAAGTGAGGGCTCTTTATCGTGCCAACGCCTACCGTGACCTATATTTTTAACGTCATATCCGAAAGACCCCTGACTACACTTCTAGTGCCGAGCGCTTGGCGAAGGAACAGTCCCTACCTATGTTTAGGTCTTAGGTTTGATGCAGCGCCGCGAACGAGAATCGAACCCAGACCTCTCGATCACATAGCGAACGCTCTACCACTAGGCTACCATGACCAGTTTGAACAGAGTTTAATGTCTCTATTCACGTAGAATCAAAAATGTAATAAAGTATGAGACATGATACGATGATTATAAACCAAAATATAAATGAACAATATTTTTTTTCACTCAAAGTCCTCTTTCTTTTTAACAAAAAATCAAACAACAAATGCTTAGCAATTTTTTTTTTTTCAGGTACATGTGTAACAATATATCATGGCCAAAAAATAACGATAACGGAACCTTTTAAAACGGAATCAAAAATGATACTTTTTATTTTTAAATTTTCTTGTGAATGTTAATCATTTCACTTTCTCTTTATCTGTCTCTCTGTCCTCTATAGGGATCCTTAACAAGAGTACTACTTAAGTGAAATATATTTTATCTATTGCCATATCTTATTGAACTTTAGTCTTCAACTATTTGCATTTTCTAGAGCTTTGTTTTTCCCACTAGGAACCTTCAGTCCTCAATTCCGTTCATAGGACTACAGTCGCAACTTTTTTCTTCCGAGAGTGCTTCTCCTTTTTCAACATTTTAATAGTACATGTGCAAGTTATACTTCACTAGTAAAAGGCGTTCAGAAGTATATTAAATGCAATTTTGTGAAAAAGAAATAGATATAAGTTTTTGATAATTTTCTATGGATAAAAAAAATTAAATATAATTTCAATACAATTTCTGATATTTATATCTTTAAAAAAATATTTTTTTAATACACTTTTCATTGTATAATATTTTTTTTTATGGATGAGAACTACCAAATCTATATTTTTTTTCTATTCATATTTTGGCAATGTTTTGCAAAGAACGATACCTGGAACTCTTCATACCTGGGTGTTTGACACACAGAAAAATATAAATTTATGTAGTGATATGTCTATTTAAGGGACGATTTCAACTCTTAAAACTTGATTAAATTAGTTAACAAATCAAAGAAAAGCATTCTTGAGATTTAATCATTATTACAGCATTGTCTTTTTTCTTCATAGTATTAAATTAATGATTTTTGGTTAGACGGTTTCAATAACGTTTATGACGTCACAACTACGTCAAAACACACATGAAGACAATGTGACGGCAGCACAACTTGTATTCAGATTACTTTATTTGAGAAGCAAATAATTTTTTCACATTGTCTGTGATTTATCAGAGGAAATGTGCAATGATCAGACCTACTGATTTTATAGCTGTGTGTTTTCCTTTACTGAAGACAACAAGCCGCGTCCTTATGTAAACCAGGATTTCATCTGATATTCTTGACAACATCAAAAATGAAATATACTGAAGGGAAAAAGAAACACAGGGTAAACTTTTGAGGTGTATTAAATTTGTTTTTCTTAAAATACTTTTTAGTTTTCCTATTGAACTTTTAAAATCATCTTTCAAAAAGATATAACCAAATTCTCATATGATTTTGTGTAATTATTCATGAGTTATTGAAGCTCAAATGACGATACCCCACAAAAGGGAAAATCGACAACTCTCATTATCTTCAATGTCCATCTCGTGCATCTGTCAGAGTCTTTTTTCTACTTTGCATGGAATTTCATCGGAGTGTTTATCTTTTAAACCCTGGCTATATTTAGCATGGGTAACCACGCAAAAAAATAAGTCAAACGACGCGCGCATGCGCCAGTGAGAGGAATACAACAGTAAGTTGACTGGCTGAAAAAACCAAATTGCGGTATTGTTTTCTTTCAAATTTCGTATGAATGTAATTATTATAATCGTGTACACTATAAATGGCTGTTTTTGTGGTAGTAAGGTGGCGATTTAAAAGATGGCAGTATGAATAACCCGCTCGTAACATGGCTCTGTTTCGCGTTAACGTCAGCTTCACGGTTGATTGAAATCCACTCCAGACCCTCTCTGACAACGGCTAAAAAGTTGTATGGGGGGAAATTTACAAGAGACTGCTTAGTAAACCGTAGTTGCCTTTTTCATTAGTTAGGCAATTCGAAAACAAGACCCCATAAAACTTCCGTAAACTGTGCCAAGATTGCAATAAATTCATAATGTCTCTTAATATTGAAAAACGATGTGCATACCTCATATGCATCAAATAATGCAACAAGATTTGTGAACAAACACGTCGTTATCAAATTGCACGTGTTTTTGGCTTTTTGGCGTTTTCCCTACGTGACGTCATAAATTTTACGGTTGAGTAATTCTGAATACTGATTTAGGTTTACAGTAACTACATTTCCCATTTGACCAATTTTTGTAATTTTTGGTCATGTGGTTAAAATTCCATCGACAATTATGCTACCCTGCGTTTCTTTTTCCTTTCAGTATATAAGTAATGAACAACGTAAATTCAGTGAACATGATATTATGATTAGCAATATCTGTTCTGGGATATTGTCCATGATGCGTGCTAGCGCATCATGGAATATTCTAGCAGAGCAATTGATATTAAAAACGCCATGTTCACTGAATAACTTTGTTTATTTCTAAATTCTAATTTCTTTACATAGTACCTACATATTGAGTATGTCATTTTCTGATACAATGTGAAAATATACACGAAATACTCAATATCCGACATCCGCAATTTTCCTGTATGAATTAAAAAAATAAAATATATCGATCTGAAATAAGAGGCATAAATACATAGACTTACAGTTGTGAAAAAAATGATATACTAAATTGAAAATATTAAAATATGGTTTTAAAAAGTTAACTAAAATACTTTTTTTGTTAAGAATTGCTAGTATATGGTAATACCTTCTTCACACCGTGGTCCCTTGTATCCAGCAACACATCCAAGACAGGTCCCATGAACAATGTCACAATGTCCTTCCTGACAATTCCCTGGACACGGTAAAGAACAATTTTCTCCATAAAATCCTGAAGTTGGACATCCTAAGTAGACATTTATTTGTTTTTCACAAATCAAAGAAACATGATACACTGTACGTACATGTAAAATCTTATTCAATATGAGACGAATAGTTGTCGTGTTTTGTTTCTTTTCTTGCGCAATACATTTAGCTTCAACACGTTTTCAGGCGACTGAACAAATGTTTCTTTTTCTGTAACGCACAACTTTTATTTCATAAAGTGATATTTATATTTAAAAAAGAACATATTTATTCAAATTAAATGTTATACAGAAAATATCAAGTTGATATACTTCCTACGACGCTCACACAATGTGTTGAAAACAAATTCAACACCACAGCTATGATAAGGCTGTCCCAAGGCTTAAAATGCCTAAAAATATACATTTCAATTTGTTCCAGATTTTAATTTTGATATGTAATCCTTGTTTGAAATTGCAGTCAACTTGAGATAATAGTTAAATCACGTTTTATTTTAAAGCATTTTTGTGATGTCATTTGACTGTGATGATCACATGACGTAGATTCATGGTATTTCTAATTGTTGCACAAAAATTGCTTCGGCACGAGTACAAAACAAAAATATTATGCAAAGTTCGTTACATAGATCAATTCACCGTGATCTCTGGGATATAGAAAGTGCTGGGGCAGTTTTAATATTTACTCGTTAAGAAAATGTTCAGTTAGAGGACATACTTCTCGTGTAGATTCACACAGAATTTCTTTAGTTTATCCTTGTCTTTTACTTGTACTAGCCCAATATAAACACTTGTGCTAGCCCAATATAAACACGATTCATAAATTCTAGTTTTTTTTGCCATTTAATTTTTTTTAATCGCCAAAATATCAGAAACTAATGGTTCAATTTTCTTTATTTTAACAAATTTTATTCTGAAACCTATTTGAACCATTCTGTTAACTTTTGGCAAAAATTGAATAATACATTTTTTCTTTATAAAACTTTAAGTGTAGGATATTACATGTGAATTTTCAATTCCAAATCTATGTATGTTCTATTCTTACTTAATATTTTTCTCAAATGAACCAGTATGAATATGACTTACTTAGTTAAAGTAACAAAAATGTTATCTTTATCAAAATTATAACACTAACTTGTAATAGATCAATTGATAATTCTAAAATAAGGCTCATTCTCAAGTCGCGTGTCTGATTTCATAATCTGATAGGCCATATTTCAGACAATGTGGGCAAAATATGTGTGGTTAAATTTTATTCATATTATATATTAACAGAGATTTTGTATCCCAGAACAAAACATCAAAGTTTCTGAAAAATTGAATTTGAGGAAAAAATTAGCCTATCTAGTTGGTCCTACCTTAATTAGATTGATTAATTTATGTTTTTTTTATCTTCCGTCAGTACATATTTACCTTCTATATATTAGTTTGTCTTGACTTGAACAAAATAATTCTAGCCAATCAAGATCATTTGTAAAAAAAAAAAAAAAAATAAAAACTACAACTTTGGAAGATTACAAAATGTTCTATCTATGTGCAATGACTATTTCTCAAGATATTTCCAGCAAGTTCAAGTGAAATGTAAATACTGGTCGATACTTAGGTGTCAGTCTATATATTTCCATCTATTTTTTTATGAAGGATAAATAACCGGGATATATCCTTATTATAAATAATAAAATCCTGTAGACGTTTGTATAAATACCAATTTCGCGAGTTTATAGTGTAGTTGTAAACACAACGTGGTATATATATTTAAACCTTCACCCAAACGGAAATAATTTTAAAAAAAATAAATATTTCATTTGACTGTTCAAGTGTCCTAAATTCCAAAATCTTGAGTTTGGTTTGTCACACTCTTTATATTATGATTAGAATTCAAAATCCTATTCATTGGGCAATGGCTTTGCTATAATGAACTTCGGTAACGTAAGACTATACCCTGATCATTTAATTTAGTTAATCTGAAGTAAATTGAAACAGCCTGTAAAATCTAACAATGCAGCAATTGTTTTTAAAATGATTTAACTTCTTCTTAAAAACATATGTACTTAACAGTTGCTGAACAGCTACAAAATTTCAAGTTTTCTTGAAAATTTAAATTTGGTAGATTAAGAAACCTTTTATTCCTAGATCAATTAGTAATAATTGCGAATATTTTCTTTTATATGATCACGTGGTTTTACACACCTTTTTCTGGTGGCAGGAAGCCGTTTAGAGCATTTCAAATATTTTTTATCAATCCTATGATTTTTATAGTGGAATAAACTTTGAATACATTGAATATTTTACCTTAAATAGATAACAAGGTTTCAATTTTTACTTTTATTCTGATTATAACACCTTTTCGTATGCACATCAAGTAATAATGTCATTATGGTTCATGGAACAGGATCGCAGCACTGTTAAGACCTACTTTGAAAAATTAACGGAAAATAGATGAGCAAAAAAGGGGGATTTTTAAAAATTGAATTTTCTTTTATTAATCTGTTTTATTATCACAGAATTTTTATACTTATGGAAATAGCATATTATAACCCACACTGTACTGTATGAAGTTTAGTCCCATCGATGGACAGTCACGTGATGAATGTATAGTTTGTGTACTGAATGTAGGTCATTTACAAATTTCAATATCGCAAGGGCATACCCTAGTTGAATTTAAAAATACAAACTATTAATTGTTTCTGCACAATTTGTAGTTTTTAAAAAGTGCTGCTGCTTTGAATAGAATTAGCTTTTTAATAGTTAAACTTTCAAGAAAATAGCCCAATGTCGAAATATGTTTGACTTTTACCATATACTTTGTATATTAATAAAATAATGCCCTCGATTTAAAGAAAGCAGCAGTACTTTTCAATGTCTTTATCTATATTTAAAAAATGGTTCAGATCTATGCAGTGTATGCCCTTGCGAAAGTGCGATTATTTTGGCATCTCTGTGTAAAATAAACGTAACCTGTACATAAAAACACGACATAATTAATAAATTACATTATCTCGGTAGTTAATTAATAATCACACTTAACAAAGGATATACATTCGTATTAATCCACTATTCAAAACCTTGAGATAATATTCCATTTAATAATAAAACGCATTTTTATTGTTAAGAAATTCTTCAATCTGCCTCTCACAGTACATGCAATACGTAATTTTTACCAATATGACGTCATGTTTACAAGTTCATCGCGATCAGTGCTTTGTTTATAATCAGCTACATGGGATTTAACTATCAACTTTTTTAATGCATTGACGATGCTAATACAGTTAAAAGTTGCAAATTATTTCATTTTCAGGTATTATGAGAAATATATAAAAATCATATTTTTGTGTGACGTTACAGTAAATTTTCCTTTGTAATTTAGGCACCGTCCCCTTTTTCAGGCCTTAACAATGCTGCAATTGTGTAATATTTTGCTTAAGATATGTTATACTCTATACTTGGTCCCTTTTTTCTGAACCCGCTTTTGTTAACTTTGCTTTACTTCTTCCGTCATTTACTTTTATAAATGACATAGCTCACTTCAACATATTTGTTTGCCTCACGCAGTTTTTAACAAAACACGAGCTTAGTCCTTTGACCGGATAAGTAAAAGACATACCATGGTTAATATATTTTATATTGTGTGGACTAATAGATGGTGAACATTCTTCTGATAAATATACGTATTCCATCCATTGCCTAATTTTTTTTCTTAAGATAAAGTTTTTTCAGCATGTTCAAATGAAGTTAAAATAATACTCCCAAGAAAATAACGGCAATATACATTATTTATAAAATGCTCAAAAACCTTTTTTTTTTTACTTTGATCTATAATTTCTATTTCTATTATTTAATTTAGATATAGTTGTTTTTTCTTCAAAATTATTTTTTAATTATTTTTTATTAACCTGCTAATAAGTCGGTGAAAGTTTCAAGAATAAGTTGGTAGAGTCAGGAATTAATTTTCTTCTTTCATATATAGAAAATTCTCATTTACAAAGGCGACCCACCGGAGAAAAAAATGTGTACCTACTTGAACTGTTTAAAGGGCTTCAAATAGTGAAAAAAGATTGAATTTTAACATGAGTTCCCTACTAAAAAAATTTATATCTTCCAACGTTTGTGCTTATTTTCGGTAAAAGTAGCTTTCCATTATAGTTCACATACATACATGTATTTGGGATTATATTTGAAAAATGTGTTTGTAAAGGAATAATTATTCTAATTTGTCTCCAGGGACCGAATTGCACCTTATATATTATCATAACTGGATTAAGATAAAACCTATGCTTACTTTATTTTGAATCACCATTTAACTTGATGCTACCCGGTATGTATTATCAGAGATAGACATCCGAGGACCAGTGCATTTGTTATCACATAATAGTAACGATTTAGGGCGAAACGTGTCTTCATTATCATAAGAGTACTTTTCAAACAGTGTGTGAAAAGAATCATTTCTTGTTTTAGTTATAAAACAATCTTGAAATTAAGTGTATATTTTTCACCATTATTTAAATGTCTTACCGTAAACTTGAAGTTCACAAAGGTCGTTAGAAGCGGTAGAGGAATATCCAGGGGGATCGTTCGATCCCCTTTCATTGTAGTAAATGACGTATTTCCCATGCTTTACACATTCTATTGTAACATTTTCTGGCACTGAATCTCGTGTGTAATTTGTGTCTTTAAAACATTGAATCCCGTCATCTTTGTTGGTTGTGTTCGATATGTAGACTGAGAATCCAAGAACGTGTGCTTTAAAACCATTGGTCGAGTCTGGTAAAAAAAAAAAAAAAAAACAACCGTACATTTAAATAATGAGGATGTTTTGAATGTGTTATGATTATGCTTTGTTACTTGAAAAAGAAAATACATTTCATCATAATCATGATAATAAAATGACATATCCAGCTGTATACTAAAATGAAAGTTTTTTTTTTGTAGTATGCAGTCGGATATATCATTTTTAAAGCGCGCATAAAATCAAATTCCGTGCTGTTTTGGTGTATATGAAGCAGAAAGGTTTACAAAAATAAAAAAAAAATATATCACTGTGCACTGAAAAAAAATGTATCAATTATAGTTCGATTTTCCTCAACAATACATAATACAAGAGAATATACAGTATCTTTGACCCAAGCGCGTATGACTTCAAAGAAGACAGTAGATATTTCTGAACACAATTTAACCTTTTATTTTTGTCTATGACAGTATGTATATATTGGTAAACTTTTCTAGAGTACCATGAGATTTGGTGCCGAGCGAAGCGAGGCACCAAATCGAATGGCGAGGGAAAAGTTTAACAACATACTTAGTACATGTTTCACACGAGGAATTAAATTCTTTATGTCTTCATCTTATCATATCACAACTCCACTGTGTTTGTAATTATCATATCTTCATTATTCTAATTGATGTAGTTTAACACTGGCTAGGTTTGATAATTAGTACCCTTTGGCAAAGTTAACTGTATAACAGACAGGTAAGGGTCCAAAGTGAGTAGAATTCAAGAATACTAGGTCCTATTCTTACATATTCATAAACCTCATTTTCTATGATTTAAGACAGTATGGTATGTCTTTTCAAATTTAAGTCAAGCATTACAAAGTCTTTTCGATGTCAGTGAGGATTCGTTCTCAGACATTACTGGAAAAAGTACACGTTTTCCTGAAGTTATCACTGGAGCTGCATTGTTAAAGCAGAGAACTCAAAGAATACCCAAGAAAACGCGACAAAATAACCATTTTGCGGTAAATGTTTTGGTCGCCTAGGCAACCAAAAGGAACAAAAGAGCTGTATGATTCTTGATGAATATCAAACTGTCCCTCTGACTTTAAAATCCATATGAATTGTTGAATTAGACTTCTGGATGTGTCGATTTGTAAATGAGGCCCGCAGACAAGATGGTGAGTACATTTATATTTCCTATCTATTACACAAATAACTATTTACAATATACCCAATCAATGGCAGAGCTAAAATAAGAGAGAGAGAGAGAGAGAGAGAGAGAGATTGTAGAACTTAATTTTTAAATAATCTTTGCATCTGCGCTCCTGTTCAAATGTTTTGGAGGTCAGTGTTTGCTCTGCTTTTATTTTGTATATTGTTTAATGGACTTTGAGATTGAATACTGTTCATTATCTCCATATCCCTTGGTAAGTACATGCGGTCAATGCTTGATTGTGCTGGAATTGACAAAAAAGTTGTAAATCATTCAGGCAGGGTATACTGCTGCTGCACTCTGTACGATTCTGGATTTGAGGAGCAGGAGGTGATGAAACGCAGCGGACATAGGAGTTCTGTCGTAAGAACATATAAAAGAGCAACTGAAGAAAAGGAAAAGGATATTTCAAATGCTCTGCAACCCCCTGCTCCCAAAGCCCAGCTTTGTATAGAAAGTGAAAATGCACCAGCCACAATACCACCATCAACATTGACTGCAGGTACTTCCAAGGGTCAACTAAGCAATGTTTTGAGGGTAGAGATCCCATCATGTATTGATACTATTGTCATAAGCAAAGATGGAAAAGACATCACACTGTTTATTTAGTATACTTACCTCGTCATTGGTCATTTGCAAAATTATTTTGATAAAACAGATTCTGATTACACACAAAAGTACTCTGAAGTTAACATCAAGAAGATGCTTGAGTTTCTGATTGATAGTATCCATGTGGTTTAGGGCGACCAGGTATTCCAACAATCTATTGGAATTCCAGTGGGTACAAATTGCGCCCCGTTATTAGCAGACTGATTTTTATATTCATATCAAGCAGAATTTATGCAAAGTCTTATACGTGAAAAGAAGAAAACACTTGCTTTGGCCTTCAACTCGACATTTAGATATATCGACGACGTATTGTCAATAAATAATGATAATTTCCATTCCTACGTCGATACGATATATCCTGGTGAGCTTGATATAAAAGACACCACAGAGTCCGACTCTTCTGCTTCATATTTGTATATTTTATTTGAAAAAGACACTAATGGTAATATAACAACCAAGCTATATGATAAACGTTATGACTTTAACTATTCTATCGTCAACTGTCCTTTCTTATGCAGCAATATACCTTCATCTCCTACATACGGAGTATATATATATATCAGTTGATTCGATACGCATGAACAATTTCTTAAACGAGGTAAATTATTGACAAGCAAGTTGATGAAACAAGAGTATCAGCAGTCTCGTTTAAAGTCATCATTACGTAAGTTCTATGGTAGACACAATGACCTTTTCAGCAAATACAATTTATCATTGAGTCAAATGCTGACTGACGTTTTTCATAGCAATTGTTAGTCCATTATTTATACACTGAATTGACGCCGGATTTTTTCTGTTATTTCCTGATCATGACAACAAGCACACCGCGAGTGTGACCGGTCGGCAGGGATGTTTACTCCCACATGGTATCTGATTCCTTCTCTGATGTTTTGGAGGTCCGTGTTTGCTCTGCTCCTATTTTGTATATTGTTTAATGGACTTTTGGATTGAATACTGTTCATTATCTCCATATCCTTATTATGTACATGTATTAATATAAAATATAATAGTACTTTTCCTGTTCTTCTGTTTACTTTTCTTTTTGTTTACCAATACCATACAGTGGAGACGTGGTGTGTGACCCATAGTGTATGATCATATTTGATCATTACCTATCATTCGCAATTAAAGGTTCAGTAATTATAAACACGATAGCATGGTCAATCGCCCGTGAAGCTTCAGCTTGGAGTGTACCATATGAAGCTTTAGGTGTACCAAGTTATTTGGTAAGGCCAAAAATCCCTTGTTCTAGAAGTGACACATGTACTATGTTGGTCTCTATTTCTATGTAAATGTTCTTTACTCTCATTTTTTGGACTCCTGTGTGATATAAAGAAATAGTTTCAATGTACATGTATTTCATATACAATGTATAAAGGTTATAATATGTATCTAACAAAATAACATTTGGTTAAAAAATATGGTCATGGTTGGGTTTGAACCGTGCTCCTTGGAATTGTTCGGCGAGCTGCCTATCAGCTGGACCACGGAGTGATAGGACCATTGAATCGTAAACCATTTAAATAGTAATGATATAAATTAAATCTTACTTCAATAAATATTTTATGTTAAAATCACTCTTGGATTGATGTAAATTAAAGTGTAACAATAAAATATTTTGAAAAATAGTTCTTGTTTTATCAAGACTACGCTATTGTTTTACTATTCTATAATATGAGATATAATGATTATTTAACAGAAATAATAAATTTGATCAATATTTTCCTTTGTAAGTAACAATTTCATATGTAAACAATTAGCTCGATCATTGATTATACAGAATGAAGTCTTAGTATACTTTAAATCAGACATAATTTTACAGGATACTAAAAAGACAAATACTTACATACCTTGATATAACGTTTATAAAAAACAACAACTTTTAATTAATTAGAATTTCAAATGCTTTTAGGTAGCAAGGAGGGATTTTGATTGCATTATGGCGACGAATCAAGGACGAATCTAACAAAGGAACAAAAATTATTACATTAAAGAAACATTGTTTGGAATATAATGATCAGTAAGATAGAATATACATTGAAGGTCAGTTATATTATCATATTAAGTTAATAAAAGAGATGTGATAGATCACGATCCATGGGTTTTTGATTACCCCCTTACTTATGGTATGTTTCTTATCCATGAATGAGATCATGCATATTGGTATATGTAATATTCGCAGCATTGTAAAGGCTTGAAAAGGGGGTGGGGCCTAATTTATACGGGAAAAGTTTACTGTGACGACACACAAAAATATGACTTTTATGTATTTCTCATAATACCTGAAAATGAAATAATTTTGCAACTTTTAACTGTAATAGCATAATAAACAACAATGTAACTTATCAATGCATTAAAAAAAAGTTGCTTGTTAAATCCCAAGTAGCGGGGTATAAACCATGCACTGATGGCGATGAATTTGTAAATATCACGGCATATTGGTAAAAATGACGTATTACAGGTGCTGTGAAAGGCAGATGTGGCATTTTTTAACAATGAAAAATGCGTTTTATTAATAAATGGAATAGTATCTACTTGTTTTGAATAGTCGATTAATGCGAATGTATATCTTTTGTTTAGTGTGATTATTATTAATTGCCGAGAGAATGTATTTTATTAATTATGTCGTGTTTTTATGTACAGGTTACATATATCTTATATTGAGATGCCTCATAAGATAGTACTTTTGCAAGGGCATACACTGCATAGATCTGAACCATTTTTTGAATATTGATAAAGGATATTTTGCTTAATTTGAAAAATGCTGCTGCTTTCTTTAGATCGAGGGCGTGATTTTATAATTACTCAAAGTATTTAGTAAAAGTCAAACATATTTCGACTTTGGACTATTTACTTGAATATTTATCTGTTAAAACGCGAATTCTATTCAAAGCAGCAACACTTTTCAAAAACTACAAAATATGCAGAAACAATTAATAGCTTGTATTTTTAATTTCAACCAAGGTATGCCCATGCGATATTGAAATTTGTTAATGACCTACATTCAGTACACAAACTATGCATTCGTCACGTGACTGTCCATCGATGGGACTAAACTTCATAAGGTAGAGTGTGGGTTATAATATGCTATATCCATAGGTATTAAAGTTTTGTGATAATAAAACAGCTTAATTAAAATAAATTCAATTTTTTTTAAAAATCCCCCTGTTTTGCTCGTCTATTTTCGTTGATTTCTAATAGTAGGCCTTAGCAGTGCTATGTTGGCATATACAAGTATAATATTGACATAATAACAATTTATACGAGGGTTGTCCCATAAAATCGTGGACAAAGCGTTTTTCTCGAAAAGTAATGGGCGCACTAAGCGGAAAATTTCAGTAAATGTTTATTTATCATATTTAAGTGCATGAAAATTTTTTTGATTAAATATAGGCAAAAATAAAGATTTTATTACGCTTGAATGTGCACGAGGTATTGTCCTACGGCGCACGGTCAAAAAACCAAGGTTTTCTTAAAGAATATACAAGTTTGAATTCAAAATAAAAGTTTTAAATACATAAGATTTGGATTAAAATTATCCTAATTCAATTCCACAATCAATTTTGTATTCTTTGTAAAAATTTTAAGGCATTTGCTTAATTTTTGGCAGTTTCTCGAGCATTCGAAATAGGAAAGTGGTAAACACAACACACGAAAAATCGCGACGTTTTATGACGTTACGGCGCACCGGAGAACAGTTCAGTTTTATTTCGATGATGTAATGACACCTTTAGAGACTTGAAATGACCATAGAAGAAAAAAGATTATAAAAATATCACCATATCTTAAGTATACAAATGAAATAGGAGTTTTCTTAGCGAAGTTTTTTTTGATCGAGTCCCTGGGGAGTACAAAACATACGGACAAACTCCTAATGTAATAGCAAAAGACGCTGTCACAGTAGACCGCTGATATGAGATTTTCTATTAGTTGAATGATGGTGAGAATATTGTCCGTAACTTACTTAATTTATGAATCTTCAGAAGATGGCATGAGGGTGCCAATTGGTTCTTCGACTGTTTATGGAGACTAAAGAATGTGTATCAATGAAATTCCTTAATTTAAGTCGGACTCATCCAACTTCATTTTCAGCAAAGATAAAACGTGACGCTATTTTAGACACTTTGACGTTATAATCCATGCGCCGTAAGGTGATACAATACATGGCATAAAATCTCATAATTTGTTTATTTATGCATATATTTATCTGAAATTTGCTGCGTATATTGCTAAAATAAGTACTAAATAATAGTGAAAATTTCAGAACGCAGTGATGTTTATTTTTCACACTAGACAACTTGTCCACGATTTTACGGGACAACCCTCGTACATATGCCTGAGTGTAATGCAATTTATTTATTTGTGCAATTGCATTGCAAATTGCAAAATATGTAATTTTCACAATTATTACTATTGTTGTTAGATTGTATTACTTTTCATAATATATTGTAGGCCATCACCATTAAAATTTCTTTTAAGAAAAAAGTGAAAACCACTAAAATACGACGTGTTTCACTTGTTTTCCTCTTTTGTACATCTTTGTGAGTTAATTTCTAGATCATTATATATTCATTTTAACCTTGATAAAGGACGAGGGCTAAAACATGCTTAATCTGCTACTCAATTCTATTCACTACATGTTTGTGTGAAAAAACGCTTAAATCAAATTGAAAATATTCAGAAAGAAATATAATAAAATCATAATTATCAACAAACCAAGAAAAAATATTGAAATGTTTCAAAGATATCAGTGTAATATGGAAATGTTTGCTAGAAAGGTCGTATAAATATAAACGTAAGATTAAAAACTTTAGAAAAAAACCATGCCGAATAAGTTACATTTTTATCACTATTTTGATGTTCTTCATTCATTTGTTATATAGCTTTACTGTACTATTTATTTTTAATACCCCAAATGGAATTGGCAGTCCTGTAGAAGAAATTGATATGATGTATGCTGACTACGTCTCCTAAGTCCACCCGCCAGGTGGCAGTTTGTTTTCCGTTTGCCGATAACGTGCATTGTCCTCCACCAGCAGACCGGTCTGTATACCGTCCATCCACAGCTTTATCTGCTCCCCAAAAAGAGTTCGAATACGGATGCTGCTGCCAGGCAGGCTTTCCAAATGCAATATTTTCTGTTAATAAAAATATATGGTAATACTACTGTCGATCCCCTTGCAAGCAAAATTACACTGCGTCAAGGTCATGCCACGTTTTAAATGTCCTACCCTATCTTGAAAGGGCATACATTTACACTGTTTTGTTAGCCTAATAAAATGACATTAAGATATTTTTTTTGAGAATTTTCAAAAGGTGTGTTACGGAATCAACAAAGAATTTACGCAGATTTGTTTTTAAAAATTCAGGCCAAACATCGGCACAAGTGCAAAACAAAAATATTGTGCAAAGTTTGTAACATTGATCAATTCACCGTGATCTCTGGTACATGGAAAGAGCTGTGGTAGGATTAATTTTTACTCGTTTAGAAAATATTTTACGTGATATTCAACTTAGCAACATAAGAAGGGGTATTTTCCACTTTTTATCGCAAATTATACAAAAATGGATAAACTACACAAAATCCCACAGCAAGATTCAGATAGAGGACATACTTCTCTTGATCATTCAAACAGAATATCTTCAATTTGTCCTTGTTTATTACTTGTGACAGTCCAATATAAACACAATTCATAAATTCTAACTCTGTCTATGGACTTATAAGGGGAGCGTTTCACACATAATTTTCCCGACGTTATTGTTTGACTATGTGGATATCGGACAAGCAAAAGAAATTCCAAATGTTCAACATTATAATAGCACACTTGAGCTTAAAAAAACAATCCTAACACTTGAATTAAACCTGTTTCAATTAAATCTACATGCCATGTAAAAATCCGGACACTATTCCCGTCGTATTTGCCCAAGTATGCAGTGACTTGATGTCATATTCTTTTATGACGTCACGTCTAGATAGTTTAGATACGTTAGTACAGTTTTATTTGTTTATATTTTACGGGTAGCCTTATTCTAGCTGCGTATTACCCACTTCAGAATGAAATTGATTTTCAAAAGTGAATTTGAAAAATAAACATTATACATGGAATTATATAAACATACATTTGAAATAGATAAACGAATAGGGCTCGATGTTCAAGGCCTGACAAATGACAGAACGAAGTAAGTAAATTAAAAAAAAACATCGTATCGTATTCATTTATTAACGCTAATCATAAATAAGCGCGTTGCTGTCTGCACCAATTAAAAAAATATGAAGTCTGTTTTTATAGGTACTGTACATATACAGTACTTTATTCATTATCGATGGATTTGAATGAACTTCAGGTATAAAAAAATATAATACCTCTGTGAAATTTGGTCGCCCGCTTAGTGAAGTTTAGTAGTAAGAGTGTCTGCTCTAAGGGTTCGATCCTTAATCACACTGTGGGACAAAAGCATCGATCCTTTGGATTTAATCGTATAGGCCGTGTTTCGGTACGATGACGCAAAAATGTCCCATTACTGCTAAGTGACTCTGGGTGCAGAAAATGGGACGAACTTTATTGATCTCCACCGGAAAATTGTGGCGTTTCCTAGTGGTGAAAAATGCTCGAGAGAAACTTACTGTTCAAGGTAGCTCAGTCGGTAGAGCGCTCGCTTCGTGATCGGGAGGTCGTGAGTTCGTATCTCGGCCGCGACTGACCTAGTCGATAAAACGGGTAGCAACTGTTCCTTCGCCATGCGCACGGCACATTGAAGTGAAAGTTGCGAGTCCTTCAGATAAGATCATAAAAACCGAAGCCCCGTTTCAGCAGCAGGCGTTGACACGATAAAGATCTCTCACTGCTCAATGGCCCTGAGTGCCGAGTAAAGGTCAAAATTTTAAGCCCTTCACTGGCATACAGTGACGTTTCCATATGAGTAAAAAAATTCTCTAGATGGAAATTAAACAATATACGATCCATCAATCAATCAATCGATAGGAACTTTCAATAGCATCAATCTATGAAAGTTATTTAAAGACCCAAATTTTTACCGTACGGTTACTTGAGAGATTGGTCTAGGTAACAGTGGTGTTATTTACCTGGAGATCCCCAATACTTAAGATGTCAAAAATCTATATACACGTAGGATTACACAGGATGTCTGTCTTTGGTAATCATTACGTGTTTCGTGTCTAATTTTAAGTCAAACTACCGTGCTTGAAATAATCTAAATATAAAAAATAAACTATTCCATTTATCCTTCGCGTGAACATTGACCGCGATCGGAATATTTGTTTTATGTTCTGATTAACAATAGTGTCCAAAATACATGTATTCATAATTTCCGAGTCTTCGAATGTCAACACAATTTTTATTTGCTGTGCAAGATTTATTTTCTGTATCGATCGAGCATTGTTCGTTATCTTTACCTTTCCACTACGCATAGAGACAGACTTCAGAAAAAAAATCGAACAATAACTTACTCGAAACTCGCGTACTTATTCTCGTAACATTTCTTTATAACATGGTGTAGATTGTATCGATATAATTATACAAAGATAAAACATGTAAAAATTGAATTTTTTGTGATCCATACCGTTTGTACTAAATATCTTTTCTTTTTAAAATTTATTCTGTTTTGTATCAATTAAATCAGCATTAATTTCTGTGGACTGTCTACAGGACAACATATCGTTTACAAGAACCATGCTGCTGTGAAGATTGAAAACAAGTATTTTTTAAAGTCTTGTTTTAATTATTTATCTAGAATCGGGTAGATTTCGGGGCGTCAACGTAAAATTGGGTGTTTAAATGGATGGAACTTGAGAGGCCGTTCGTGTTTGAAAACATGACTATTTTTTGTTGCTTTAGACATTTTAATCAGGAATGCTTTAACTGTGTTTCGATCAATTGAAATGAATGATTGTGTATAATCACATCTTTCATTTTCAATTTTGCTACAGCGCACTTTGCTTATTTGGCAACCAAAATGATTTAGTAGATAGGTTTTGAGCTTTGTATATATTTTTGATTTATTCTTAAGAAAATAATGACTTTAAAAAAAAGTTACTTTTTGATAAGACAGCATGTTTAAATGTTATAAATGTATCTCTTGGGATGAGTAATGTCTCTCTTTATCTTAATTAAATGTTAAAAATGGTTTTCTTCGATAAAATAATTGTCCAATGCTTGTTTCTACAAGTTCAATCATACTAATTTATTTAGTCTTGCCCATAACACATTTGCATGAAATTCTTGTGGCAAAGAATTTCTAGAAATGTTTCATAAGAATATTTGCCTGAAGTATGCACGGATTTCATTTCAAATTTTTCGTAACATGTTAGTCTTTCATCGTTATGAGATCTTATATGAATTATAAACTATCGATTAAAAATCACAACATAAAAAGGATTAACCTATATAAATACAATCACACGAAAAGAGAGAGGGAAGGGGAGTCAGAGAGAAGAGGATAGAGAAAAAATGTTTCATTTGAGATTGCTATTCTTACCGTAGGTAGACACAATTCCTATTAAACTACCGAAAAAGTAAAGCGGCACAAATTCTCTATTCATATTGTTCGAAATGAATTAGTTGAACACAAGGAAGTAGAATTTAAGAATTTAATCGATATCGATAAGGTTAGATATGAGTACGAGATTTACAATCCCCCATAGACGAATTTCACATTCCTAAGAGTTATCTCCCCTAGTCGGCGTTATGCTCATTTTTCCCTCTTAAGGTTAGATATGAGTACGGGGTTTAAGATCCCCATAGATCTTTACATGAAGAGTTTTTGAACGCCTTTCAAATAAATTTAATTGAATTAATTTTGAAATCGTTAAGTTACAAAAGAAAATTGTTGCCAGCGAATTTTAAATCAATATTTTGGCATTTTTTTCCAAACAATTTGAATTATTTTTTTAATGTATGACATCGACCATAGTACTGTCTGAACATTATGTTCTTAAACGAGTTCAAACAAATTATTTGTGAGAAATGGAAAAGTACCTTTATATTCTTATTCATCTTATTTTTAGTGAAGACACTATTTTGAAATATTATAATAAAATTTTAATTATCGGTAAATTCTTGAACTCTTTTTAAGTGCCTAGAAAACAGAGCTATAAATAAATCAAACAATTAACTGCCATGTATAATTTTAAACTTGTAGAATATTGCTTGCTTCATGTATAATCTTCCCCTTTAATAACATAGTTATCTGTATAATAAGATGCAGAAAAAAATCTAATTTCGAGAACGTTTATTAGGTAATGGTTTTTATTCTATGTAGATGTACATATATTAAAGTCTTGCATATGTCGTAAAAAGACAAAGAAAAAAGGACACTTTTGCTATTCAGGTGTTAATAATTCAATCTAGGAAGTGAAATGAAATTGATTAAGAACCTTACAGGGTTTACTGGGGGGGGGGGGGATTTCAAGTGATTTTTGATTCATAAGATAAAGGGAAGTCAGTTGATCACTTAGAGATTTCAAATTCTAAATAGTTAAAAGAAAAATTTTTGTCACAGAAAACATTATTTAAGCCTTAGGATAGATGTTTAAGGATAGATGATACAAACATAAAAGGATGCCTGGATTGGTATATATTGTTTGACCTTATATCATTGCAAATCGATTCCTAGAATATAAAAAAAATGTAAACTTTCTGTGATGTTCAAAATTCAACCTTTCTGAAGCCATCTTTATTATTCTTTACGAATATTTAATTTTTTTTCTTCAAAGTCATTTTTGTGCAGCTTTGAATAAAAAATTTAAAACTACGCGGTGAAACTAATTCATTTCAATCTTTAAAACATTACCCAAATTGTTATTTAAAAGAAAATGATTAAAAGTATCATTTGTCCTTAAGATACCCTGCTTTGAAAATAACAAAGCTACAGATTTCTGCTAAACTTCATAGATCTGTGTTAATTTGGAGGTCAACCGGACCTCCTTTTGTGAGAACTGTTACTGAAAATAGACATTGCCTCGTGAATTACAGAAATGCAGTAATTTAAATATTTATACAAGCTTTTTAAATTAAAATGAAAATGAAAAACCTTAGATATGTGAATTATTAATCTAGAGAAGATATGCTAGTTTAACGTTCTATTATATTTTTTTATTCACGGGTCCTTTTTATAGTATATCTGATGGTGAAGTAAACATATTTTGGCTCAAAATTATTAACTCCTTTACTGGTATAATCAAATTACTGCTAGATATTTTACTGACAGATTTCTCTTGAAATAGCATGTTTTATTTCCGATGATATTTTCAGGAAAATTAAGTGGGACAGTAGATACCTAAAAAAAAATGTACATTTTAAAACCAAAATCCCTCCAAACTGATTATTTGATCGATTGATTGTTTAATTTCATGCTGTTAAATGTTTTGTTTGAGAATTTTTAACCCGTGTAAAAACGTCACCATGTACCGGAAAAGTATTTCAAATTTTGATCTTTACTCGACACTCAGGACTAATAATGAGCGATAAGGAATGTTTTTCTTGCGACTGACTTTTGACCGCGGTATCTTAGGTCTTACCTTATGGACCTTTAACTTTCACTTCAAATGTCGATCGCTGAAACTTCAATTAAGGTAGGATTCTTCTCTCACAAATCTGTATTTCTTGTATTTAAAAACTAATGAAATGTTCACAGAATCAAGAGGACAAGATCACTAATTGATGGCATCAGTAAGATTAGTTTAAACCGTTTTTGATAGGGTCAACGCAGTACAGTTAAGACTACATGGAAAAACTAGAGGTATTGTGAGCGATGAGCTCACTAAATGATACCCCCCGCCTCCCATATGGTTATAAGTGAAAAAGTCCAAGTTTTCCTGTGGCCGGGAAACCCAAAATATGTGTCAGATCAAAAAGTAAAATAGGAGGTGCACAATGGCAATATGTAATAAAGATTCTGTGAAAGTTTCATCAAATTTCATTCAGTGGTATGAGAGGAGTTGCGGATAAGAGATGGGTACCCCAAAGCGTAACAGACGGACGGACAGACAAACGGACGGACGGACGGACGGACGTACAGACGGACGGACGGAATTAACGATTACTATATACCCTCCCGCTTTTCAAGCGGGGGGTATAAAAATATGGTAATGAGGTCATAATGAGGTTTGACGTCATGATAAACCGAACATTTGTGGGACTGTTCGGTTTATGATCATCTCTCTGACAATAACAATGCATGTTTTATAAGATCTAAGGAACATGTTTGACCTCACTATCATATTCATTACTGTCAATCTGTCAGACAATAACAATTTAGAAAATATATTCTATTAAATATAAATTACTAAATTTTCATAAATAAAACAAAATTTGAAATTGAAGTACATTTGTACGGCACTGAGCTGACCATAAACTGAGAAGAAACGGAAGTTAAATGAAAAAAATAACATTATGATTATCTTGAATTTTATTTAGCAACTATATATTTTGCATGTTTGAAAAATATCACATACAACAGATGATGAACTAAAATTTTAAATAAGAATAAATTATGAATTTAAATTTAAAAAATCATACATTTAATATTTGATATTATAAGACAGTTTCACATTTAAAATGTTTAATATGTGAAAGTCAAGATTTTCTAGATCTACATTTTGACTTGTCTGTTTCGTTTATGGTCTAGTCATATCTTCTTTTTTAGAATTGCATACAGAAAAACATGTTATACAGGCACAGTTAGACTATACATGTACATGTACATGCATGTTATTTTCATGGTGCTCAGTTTAGTAAAAAATAAAATTTTACATGAAACATATACTTAAACATTATAACCGTATAGGCCTATGGTTTTTAAAAATAATTAATTATAACACGCCGGACGCAAGTCGCGATCCCGGGTCTCCCAATCATTGTTAGTAGGAAAATTAAAACACTAATTATATTTTTTCTATAATTCTTCTGGAAGCCAAATTTCTTTACAGATATGTTCGCAAAATCAGTACTTACCCACGTTTAATTACGATCTGTTTGTTTACATTAATTTTTAACAGGTAACGATAATCGTAAATTTTATTTGTGCGGTGAGTCGGGAATTATGGAATGCCGATCTCGATTATTTTTCTCCATTAAAATATATAACATTTAAATGAATGCCATAACTATATCTGATTTCTTTCTGGATTCCTTTTTTTTCCTTTTGTCAAATTAATTCCTAAATATTAAAAAACCGAGAGTTGAAGGATAGGATAGGATAGGATTAGACTGAAATCACAGGATAGGATTGTGGATGCAGGATTCACGATAGGATAGGATAGAATTGTCAACTTATAGGATAGCAGCACTGTACTTGTGCATGATTTATTTGTACATATTTCATCTTGTCTCTTAATATATGCTGTTATCAAAGCTTCCATTATCATGATAATGTTTGAAGCTAATGTTGATGGTGTTATATGTGTGTTGTTGATTTGAAATAATGGTTTATGTAGTTGATTACTTTCTGTATCAGTCAGTTGCGTAATCCGGAAATATTGTCCAGATTTTTTTTTTAACAAACCGTGTTTCACTCTGAGTTTACAATATCCACACTCCCTTTTGTATCAATACCGATAACCGGCAGACTGTTCAGAAATCCAAAGCTAAAATTGTTTAAAATACTCTCCCACCCACCCCCCTTTAGCTACTTTATTTGACTTGTTCAGGGTTTCTACCGTTTAAGTTTTGTACTTCCATATAATATTAGCTGTCTACAGACATAGGAATCCTTCAAGTACATCTTATCCCCGTTGCAGTATTTCAATTGTCAATACAAAGTGCTGTAAAAGCATATTATCACCTTTAAATTGGTTGTGAAAAACAAAAAAAAGGCATTATTGGACATAAAATCTCGCCACAGCGTTTTAATTCTCAAAATGAAGTGCAGCGAAGCCATATCGTCACCTTTAAGTTGGTTGTGGGAAAAAGACGGGAATCCTTAGACCTTTATTTCGTCACAGTGGTTTTATAATTGCGGTGTAGTCCTCTTCGTCTTCTTTAAGTTGATTGTGAATATGATGTTGATTTGATACTATTTTCATCTATAGATAATTTATAGTAAAGGGGTGTACATTTTATTAAATATTAATGTGTTGGTAGCATGATTGTAACCCCTACCCAGCATGCTACTTGTAGTTTCGGACTACACATTAAATGTTGTTGTAGGGGTGGGCCCTATTATCTTGCAGCCAACAGGTTGATGTTGATTGTTGAAATACATATATATGACCACTATGACCGAAATTACAATACTATAAACAATAAACTTTAAATATTTTTTTAATTCTGAAAAGATTCAAAAGCAATGTGGCAAATACAAGCATAAGGCTTATTTAAGCTCATGTATATTATGGATGTGTGTAGGATATTCCATAAGGCATTACTGTCTTTGATAATGCTTTAGTTATTTGCAATACAATGTTGTCCATTAAGATATCAATAAAATGTACATTTTATGATCAGCTCAGTGTTTAATTATTAATTTATCCATTAAACTAGAGAATTGCTTTACCTTTATGAACACTGCTTGGTCTGAAAATACGACTTTTCTCCGTATCTCTTTGTTTTT